AAAATTACTCATTTGAAGTGTAGGCATTAACGGAATTGTTAGAATCTAGCTCAGGTGAAGCCCGGAACCCCAAGATTGTTTTCCCTTACGTAACGAACCATGTGACCAAGCCCATATGGGCGGCGCCATCAGGTCTGGATATCCACTCTGGTTCCTTTCTCTCCGCATGGAGGACTTAGACCAACGCTACCGAAAGAGTGGGGTGGTTGGGGGGGGACCCGGATTCTATGGTGGGTATGAACTATGTGAATAGGCGGGTTTGGAGAACCCTCTTCCTAAATTCACTACGTTCAATTACCCACCATAGACTACGGTCAGTCAAACCACCGCCGATAGGTGGCGGGTTTTCCGAGCAAACAGAAAAATGTTAAAAGTCTTTTCCCAGTCCGGGATGAAACACTCTAAAATAATTACTTAACACCCTAGTTAAGACCCAAAAAAGGGTGGTGTTCTTACCTTACCTGTGCTGTCCCCGGAGCAAGACAGGGTGACAGGGTTGGGTGTGCCCGAGAAAGCTAGACCCCCCAACCCAAATCTTGGGGGTAGTAAGCTTTCGAAGTAAAGACCAAAACAGTTTTGCATGAGGGCATAGGCAAAGCAGGACCTGGGAGCTTCCAGGGAGTGCTGATGGTAGAGAAATCTGTCCGAAAAAAAAAAATGCCGAGACTGACTTATTGCCTATGCGCAGGGACTCTTGTGGTCTTCAGGCTGACCAAAACCAAGACTGACCCGCTGCGACGGGACCCAACCTAAAGAGACCCTTCTTTATGGATTTGGTGTCTCCGAGGGAGTAGTTGATAAAGACGTTCTGCGTTCTCCAGAAGCCTGCCCCCCATGTGTGCTTGAGGGGGGGGGAGGCTGATGCTAGCACTTGTGAGTTAGCAATCGCACAAACCTCATGCGCTCATACTTGTTGTCTCTGCAAGCTCTGTGTCGAGGCAGTTAAAGTATTATAGACCTCAAATACAGTCGCAGTATACCACCTGGTTATGGAAGTTGGGGAGGCCAGCCTATCCTGCCTGCCTGGGCCATAACACAAAGATATGTGCCTGGCACCCCCCGCCCTGAAGTACGGTTTGGTAGCAACTCCGTGCTCGAACCGAGCAGAGAAGCAATTCCTCCTGACCCTTCGGGCAGACAAAATTTGACAGCCGGGGGTTGACGATCGGTGAGGATCGTGTCCTGGGATTTGGTTCTAGGCGAGAAACCCGATTTGTGTCTTTAGCACAACTTGATTGTCTATAACGGCGGTACATCATCCGAGAAGGACAATGCCCCCAGCTCTGGCCGACGCCTACCTGAGGCGAGGGCCAGTAGGAAGACTATTTTCCATGTCAAAAATTTGAGTGGTGCTGATCGGAGAGGCTCAAAGGGCGGTCTGCTTAGAGCGGACAACACAGCCGACAAGTCCCAGTTGGGAGGCTCCCTTGTATGGGGTCTCAGTGTCTGGAAAGCAGTAAATAGTCTCCTAATAATAGGACGAAATTGTCCCGACAGTCCTTTGACTGAAGCTCTCAACTCGGAGGCAAACTGAACGCCGTGCGAGGAAGGGTCCACAAAGGGACTTTCAACGGGCCCCATAGGAGGAAAGCCTCCAGGGGCACAGTCTCGCTGCAGCCAGTAAAATTGGGTTAACCACCACCTAAAAAAACAGAATGTGAGGATGCGAGCGTGAGGACTTTCCACTCATGCCAAACACGCAACTCACTTTAACCGATTTGGACACACGACCTTGCTGTGAAGAAACAAGCGGCACGGTCAGTCTCGGCGATTCTGATGGCTCTGAAAGAAAAATCTCAGGCCTCAGAACTCCAGTGAAAAACACATGCCTTTACGGCAAAAACCCCGAACCCCGCACACAGCTACGACAAAAGTATTTCGGATGCGGGTTCTATGCTGGTAAATTCTGAATATAACCACTGCACAGTCGACTCAAAACACGAGGAGACCAAAAAAAAAAAAAACGGCAGTGACACCTGATGCTGTCATTACAGCTATTCATTTCTAAATACATAGATCAAGCATAAAAAGAAGATGACATGCATGAGCAAAGTGAATTACAGTAGGAAAGGAGACGTAAAGAAACCAACAAGTGATTAAGCTACGTCGCCCGGGTTTTATTTCTTTGTTGTGAAAAATACTACACACAAGGAGGAAAACGACACAAAGGGTAAAAATGACAAGGAAGAACTTATCCTACCAGCAACAAAGTTGGATGCCGAACAGGAAAAAAGCAAGCGATCCAGGCAGAGCTCACTAAACTTTATCTCCACTCGATGCGGAAAAGAAGCAGAGTGGATATCCAGCCCTGATGGCGCCGCAATTTGAGCTCGGTCACGTGTTTCGTGACGTAAGGGAAAAGAATCCTGGGGTCACAGGGCTTACCCCTGACCTAGATTCTATCTCTTCGTCATTGGCAGAATCGCTGATTAATGCCTACACAGTTCAAAATAGTCATTTTGACTGACCGGAGTCTACGGTGGGTAATTGAACGTAGTGAATTTTCCACAACACATGCATAAAATGAACAATACATCGTACAATCTTTTGAATATACACTGTAGGCGTAACTCCAAATTAGGTGTCGGGGAAGAGGATAAGTGTCACCTCACAGTCAATCAAAACAAGTCATTGAAAATGACACAGTCCCCGTTAAGTTCTCTTTGTGCTCGTCATATTAAAGCAGAGAGGTTGTCACAAGCGTGTCCTTGAAACTTGAGTTCCAAGTGGCGTATACAACAGATTGTTTATTTACATGAAAACACGTGTTTCGTGTCATAGTAATATGGCCAAAATAAAAACAGCCATTATTCAGCCATCTTTGATCTGATTATGAAACACAGATATGTAGGATGTATGTGCCAAATACGAATGAAAATG